TCCCCATCCATCCATCCCCATCCATCCCCATCCATCCATGCCCATCCACATCCTGAATTGTCTGTGCAGCAGGTCCAGCCACCTGTGTGCCTCAGCCCAATCCACTTCAAAAGAAATGAGCTGCTCAAAGCCAAGCCTGGCAGTGCCCCTGCACCTTCAGCTCTCCAGGCACCTGCTAGGGATGGTCTGCAATGGATGATCCCATTGCCTGGGCCACAGAGCTGCTSCTTCTCCCCTGTGCAGCAGGCACGAGGTGCTGCTCTGATCCCAGGGCCGAGGATGGAGAACATCACTGTGMTGTTAATGCCCATCATTGGCCTAATGCCCTATTTCTGCAAAACTCCACTGGAGAGCCTTCCAACGTGCATTATTCCCAACTGTGGCAGGGAATTGCCTGAGGACTCACCTGGCATAGCTGCTGGGAGGTTTTGCTGCCTGAAGGAGGCTCAGCAATGCTCTTCAGCTGTTTGTCTGAGGCCCAGCACAGAGCAGGCAGCGGGGACAGCTCCTTGTGCAAAATAAGTGAGGCTTCTACCTACCAGAGTGGAAAAAGGGAAGTTACCACATCAACCACACTCGTGTGCAGGGTGGACCCCACCCGAATCAGCAGAGATAAAAGAAAAGCAGACAACATTTCAACTCAGGGTGACAGCAGGACTGAGCCCTGCTGCTCCTGTGGGGTCACTCTAGGTTGGCAAAAAGACATRAAGAGTTCCCCAGGCTGAGAGGAAAGAGCAGAGACTTTTTCCATCAGCAGGGAGCTGTCCAGGGAGCCCATCCTCTGCTGGGATTGATCCCAGAAAACTCCTGCTGCAGAGGCAACAGCAGTTCTCACCAAAAGCTGAGAGCTCCATCCTCCACCTTCACCCTTTCAGTTGGGGTTTTGGCCTTTCCTATCAGCAGCGTGGAGAGAAACTCGAGCTGATAAAGTCAGCAGATGACCCCAAGATTGAAAGAGCGGAAATCAGCCGGAAAGACTGAGCCATGAGTGCTCAGAGGGGAGCAGGGCTCATGTTCAGCACAAAGAACTCACTCCTAAACGCTCTGGGCTGTGCCCACTGGGATCCAAAGGGTCATTGGGATCCTGGCACATCACCCCTGCCTTGCTCTTGCTTCAGGGTGAGCCTCCAGGAAAGTGTGTGCTGAGGACAGAAYAGGGGGAGTGCTCCTGGAGGATCAGAGTGAGAAACTCTCCTTGTCAGGGAGAAGCTTCTCAGAGAGGTGGAGGCACGTGGGGAATCTCGGAGATTCCGTGGAGAGCATGGGGCTGGTGGCAGGAAAACCCTTTGGGGCTGGAGGCAGATGAGCAGCTGGGACAGCCTGAGCAGCTCACCCATGGGGTGCCGGGTCCTCTGGACAACAAAATGTCAAAAGATCTTCCTGATTCCCCCTCCAAACCTAGGTTAGGGTTAGGGTTAAGTTTAAAGTGAGGGTTAGGTGCAAAAGGTGCTCTCAAATGGGTTAGAGTTAGAGTTAGGGCTAGGATCAGGGTTAGGGTCCGGGTTAGGGTCAGGGTTAAGATTAGGGTTTGGATTAGGGTTAGGGTTAGGGTCAATATTAGGTTTAATTTAGGGTTAGGGCTAGGGTTAGAGTTAGGGTCAGGGTCAGGGTTGGGGTTAGGGTTAGGGTGAGAGTTAGTGTTTAGGGTTAGGGTTAGGGTTAAGGCTACGGTCAGGGTTAGGGTCAGGCTTAATTTGGGGTTAGGTTTAGGCTTAGAGTTAGGGATAGGGTTAGGGTTAGGGTTATGGTTAGGGTTAAGGTTAGGTTTAGGGTTAGTTTAGGGTTAAGTTTAGGATTAGGGTTCAGCTCTAAAGCTGCTCTGAAGAGAACTTTTCCTACAGAGATCCACCATCAGCACCACTCAATTCCAATGAAAGGGCACCCAAAACAGCTCTGCCTGGGACAATCCTTTGTGAAGAGCCAGTTCTGCAGGCTTTCGTGTCAGCTTCAGGCGGCAAATGGGGCCCTTTCTTGCTGAGCCCCAGAATACAGGGAGCTCCTGCTCCTCTCCATTGCTGCCAGCCCATTCCCAGGCTGAGCTTTGTCCCGGCTCTTCTCCCTCACTGTCGTTTCATTTTGGATATTCTTCCATCAAAACGAAGCGGGGCCGAGCAGGGACAGCCCCTCCTGCCACATTTCTCATTCCTTTCCTCCTGATCAAAGCCACAATCGATCTGAAACTGCCTGATGGCTCYGAGTGCTGGGCTGGGAAATGCCAGGGGAGGTTTTGGGGGGCAGTGAAGCACCATGAACCCGCTGTGAGTGCAGGGTTAGGGCGGGTGTTGATGGATGCTGAGATGAGGCACTCAGCAGAGAAGCTCTGGAACCTCTCAGAGGTCAACAGGAAGGCTAAAATGCCTCRATCCCAGAGTTTTTGTGCAAAGGAACACCAGAAATGTGTTCAGCYTGGGGCCTGCCCAGTCCCTCCTGCCCTGGTGTCCAGCCACGGATGGTGAGGGGCCACACCAGCTGCAGGGGGAAGACAGCAAGTGACAAACACGAGATAAAACATTGATAAAACGACGATTCCTGTTGAGGTTTTCCTGCTGTGCTGCTGCATGGCCCTGATTAAAGCTCATCTTTTCAAACTCTGTGATTAAAAACCCCAAACCTCTGCGTCAAGCAGCCTCCCAGGCTGTCTCACGGGCATCAGGCACMCTCGCCTGTTCCCCACCCACCCATCCTGTCCCCTCTGAACGTGTTTTTGTGCCCCAGGAAGGGTGGGGCAGGGCTGGTTTRAAGATGACTGTTGTGTTGGGTGGTTGCACTTCCCTGCTTGGGTGTCTTCTGCAGAGCAGCAGCACCTGACACATCCCAGTCCCCAGGATGCTTCTGGCCCCAGAGGAGCCCAGAAGAACCAGCAGGGCCCCTGTGACCTGGGATAACCCCAAACCCTGCACATCTGGCTCTAAACAAAGGATTGTCCCAGGCACAGCTGTTTTGGGTGCCCTTTCGCTGGAATTGGGTGATGATGGATCTCTGTAGGAAAAGATTCTCTGCAGAAAAGATTGTTTTGATTTGGAGAAAAACAAGAGCATGAAAGAGAAAGTTTCAGGATCTCCTCCTCTAGACCACATTCATCACCTTAAATGGCAAAGTTTT